ATCCAATCTTCAGGGAGACGGCGGGTGTCTTCTACAGGTCTCAGTGGGCCTTGCTGTTTACTGGAGAACAAACTAGTTGGAAGACCTTTTCACCCCACAGCAGAAACAATCTTTTTACTCATCAACACACAGAATTGGGAAGAGAAACCCATATCTCCATGACTAACAACAGCGGGATCAAAGTAGCCATAGGATGTAGAATCTGTAGAAGGGAACAAGCGAGGACCTCAGGCCAGCGCAGCAATGCCGCTGCCAGCAGAGAGGAAAGCTGTTTTCTCCCCGCTGCCCCACGCTTAGAATTTCAACACATTCTCCCGTCTGTTTCTGATACAGCCACTCCTAAGCACCTAATCCATCCTGCCTGCTATAATCTTGCCCCTCGGATATCTTTCCTCTTTAGGGCATGTAAGGCAGATAAACACACGCCCAGGCATGATCACTGTATTTTAAACCACCTACATCTGGCTAATTCTGTATCTAAGACATGGTGTGGAGCATCCCTTGCAGTTTACAGCCCCACTACCCCAGGTGAGATCTTCAGACCTGCAGCATTACCTGTGATCATGTTAGAAATGCAGAATTGTAGATCCTCGCCCAGACCTGCTGTGTCAGAGCCTTCATGCTAGAAAGACCCCGTGTGAGTCAGGTACACCGTAAGACAGGGGCTTTCCTCAGAACATCTGACGGAGTCCATCTGCTGTAGGGTTAGGAACTTATATCTGAAATAAGCACCTTTGCTTATTCTGGGCCAAGCAGGCTTCTGACAACATTTTGGAGGAGTACCTCCTTGCTGGTCCAACTGGTATTATATTCTTTCTAGTAATCTGAGTCTTCTACTAAAATTAAAACATTCTGGCAGGCTCAAGTATAAAGAAAAATTTGAAAAATAAAAAGTAGGAGTTAATACAACATTTAATGATTTTTTTAAGAATCAGTAAATGTAAACTAAATTGAGATGATTAAGAGTCAGAATCTTCTGGAAATTTTTTTTAAACACACAACTCAGTCTTCTTGGAAGACTAGGAGTCTACACCTCTGAGCCCTCTCCTAAGGGATCACTGCTACAACAAACCACTGTTACCTACCATGATAAAAAGTGACTGCCTGAGGGCCCCATTATGGTTTGTGTCTGGATGTCCCCCAGAGCCTGATACAGTAATGAGGGGTGGGCTTTTTCAGAGGTGGCTTTATCTAGAGTATGTGACTAATTCATAATCATGCTGGGATTAGGGTGCTGGGATTAAGAGGGGTGATTGCTGGATCAGTCCATTGATTGGATTGGCACTGCCCTAATCCCAACAGTCAGATAAAATAAAAGTGGCAGAAAGAGGCTTGCTTCCCCCTTTTGGCTCTTGTTTTAGCTGTCTTCCACCACCACGAACCATTGCCCCTCTGCCATATGACACTCTGCCTTGGAGCCAGCCAATTATGGACTCAAACCTCTGCAAACTGTGAGTTAAATACACCTTTCCTATGAAGGTCAAGTATTTTGCCTTAGCAATGAGAAAAGTAACCAAGACAAGTAATAAAAAGACAATGAAATCCCCCAAGACAGTTATGTCTGTGGTTACTATTTTGGGTTTTTTTTTTTTTCTTCCAGATTTTATATATATCCAGACATATTTAGATATGTATTTTATAGCTAATTGGGGTTGGATGGTATATGCAGGTTTGTATCTTTTTTTCATTTAACATTCTTATTACATGGGTATTTTCCCAAGTTACTAAATATTTTCTAAAGGATATAGTTGATAAGAGTCACAAATTTTTGTTTATTAGATTGCTAGACTAGAATGCATTCTCAACTTTCTTTACTGTGGGTGTGCATATAGTTTTTCCTTTTTTTTCTCTTTTTTCCTTTTTTATTTTTTGCTGAGATAGCTCCTACCCACCTCTCTGCTGCTAGATTCTTGTATTTAGGGGTCTTCACCTGTGTAGTAATTTCCTGCAGCACATCACTGTATTTCTCATGGGCATCCTACCACTAAATTTGCTTTTCTGCTCTTAGTCTGACCAGAACCATTTTGTTTTCCCTAAACCCATTTACCTCCTCCAGACTATTCTGGAACCTAAGGCTACAGCCTTGGTCTCAGAACCCACGAAGAAAGTGCATCAGTGATGGCCACAGGGTTCTGTGGACAGTGGTCACCATCCTTTCTAGCTCAGCCCAGCATGATCTGAAGTTTGCTCCAATGGACTGTAATTCTAAGAATTAAGTAATCTCACAGTAAAATCCCTCTGGGAAACGATGCACATTATATTAAGCATCTCCTAAAGACTTACAGTTTCAAGGTACATTAACCTAAAATGCACAGGGCTCCTCCATTGAGATTTATTTTTAAAATTTCCCCAGAGGCACAGAAAACATTCAAAGAATAAATACTGACGAACTAAAATACTGTTCAGGTTCTTTTGTGTTTTCTGTGAGTAGACACTAGTTTTTTTCTGAATTAAAAACATAGGACCCTGGCCCTGAATGGAAAAGATGCTAGAACCACAGCTAAGAACATCCAACTACTTTCTCAGGCACTGGACTCTCCCAGCAGCTCCTCAGAAGCTGCAGTGAGGGATTTGCTTTCTGGTGGCCATGGCCAATGGCAGCAGTGCTAGCAGTGGCCTGCAAATGTCCTTGCCTAGGATCAAGAGACCCTCTCCTGGGCGTGTGGTGGTGCCGCTGCACATCACATTCCCCCAGCTTTATTTTTGTGGGCTTTAATGCTATTTTCAATTTACAGAATTGGAGAGGAATAGTGGAAAGACAGACTTTTAAAAATGAGAAAATATTTAAATGAACGCTCAGAAAGATGTTACCCCAGTTAGAAGGTCTTTTCACATGAATCACCAAATTTTCCTGACTTCTAAGTCACACAGTAATGTGAATGTCAGATTTAGCTAAGCCATGAATAAAAAAGCACATTATAGGGGCACTAACAGATGGAAAAACAAACAAACAAAGAAAAGCAAAGGACAGAGAGAAAGAAAAATGAGAAAGTATGAATCTCAAAAAAATAAAGGTACAGATAAAATACACACTTCAGAGTTACAACCTAATTTCCCTAAAAATTATACTGATTATCCAAAATATATACAGCCACCACAGAATTGAAACTCAATCTCTCCTTAAATGAACAGTGACATAAGGGAAAAAAAATAGTTGAAAGTCACAAACACGGAAAAGGCAGCTCAACTTAAAAAAAAAAAACAAAAAAACTATAAACATCAACATTTTATTCACCTAGTAAAAAATTACAGAAAATTCAATATAAAGGACACAAAGTTAGATCCTATGAAAGAGGAATGGATAAAGGAAAAGAAGAAACTGCTCATGTATAAAGAGGACATTGAGGGAGTGAATGCAAAGGTAAAATAAGCAGATTAAAACAGGACAAATGAATAAGAAATACAAATTAAAGCAACACTGAGACTCCACTTTACCCCAGAAAGAATGGCTATTATCAAGAAATCAAATAATAACAAGTGCTGGTGAGGATATAGGAAAAAAGGAACCCTTCCAATTGTTGGTAGGAATGTAAACTGGTAAATTGGTACTGGAATGGAAGTCAGTATGGAGAGTTCTCAAAAAACTAAAAACTAGAGGTTCCATTTGGCCCAGCTACTCCCTTTCTAAGTATGTTCCTGAAAGAGTTAAAGTCAGCATACCACAGTGAGCCATGCACACCCATGTTTATAGTAGCACAACTCACAACAGCTAAATCTTGGAGCAGCCTGTATGTCCATCCACAGATGCATGAATAAAGAAAATGTGGTACTTACACACAATGGAGCACTACTCTGCCATAAAGAAAGATGAGCTTGAGTCATTTGCTAGAAAAGGATGTACACTGAGACCATAATTGAAATAAATCAGACACACAAGATTAAATATCACATGGTTTCTCTTATATGAGAAAGCCAAAATATAAATAAAGAGCAAAACAAAGGATAGATAACAGGAAGCAGAGAGATGGGATTTTTCTCAAATGGGAAGGGGATCAAGAGATGGGAGGGAGGGCCCGGAAGGGAGGGAAAGAGGATGAGAAGAAGAATTCAGATGTGTCATGTGCACGTAGCAACTCCCATGATGGATGTGATCATTACGTACTATAAGCATGGACTAAGAAAAATTAAAACTAAAAAATGTAGTAAAACTGCAAACTTTGGCCTGGTAATACAAGGAGAAACTTTCTCCCTGGAACTGGTCTCTTCCAAGGGCCTCTGTCTGTTGGCAGTGCCACGCTTCAATCTTTTACCCACTCCCCTGGCTGTCTGGACGCGATGGAACTGCAGTCACGACTCACAAGGGGTACGGGGCACTGTCCCAGGTCCCCCGCCCTCCGCGGCCACCGTGCTGTTCACAGGCAGCTCGTCCCTGTGCCGTGACACCCCCTTCTCCAGGCCACGCGGTGCTGTCTCTGTGACTACACCGCCTCCTTCCTGATCCCCGTTGCCTGTTCACTCAGGAAGCCTCCCTGCAGGTTCTGTGCCCAGAACTTGAGCAGTTCCTTCTCTCTGTTCCCAGAGCGTCCTACCCAAATCTCTCTCGTGGACACAGGACCCCAGCCTCCCTGGGTGCCCGTCCTTTCCACCAGATGGGAGCCTCTTCTGCTTTACCTTTGCAAGTCCAACACTCTGGACAGGTCCTGGCCCTCTGAAGGGCACTCCACGAAGTTCACTGAATGAATGAATGGATGAACTGGTGGATTAAAAATTAAATAGCAGGGAATACAGTTAAGTTTTCCATCTCTGAGAGCTTTCATTTAAGTCCGACTATGTTAGGAGAACTCCCGTACCAGGTAAGAGCTGTGACCTACCCCATGGCCGTGTGATATTCTGCACATATTGTCTCCTATTTGCCCACTCACAGACTACTGAGCTCTCTGTAATGCTTATCAAGAAGGATCTGATTTTTTTTACCGGTCTGATCTTTGTTTAAGACATGAACCACGGGTAAAACCAGTGCAGAGGGCCCATCCCGAAGACCACACATTGCCGGGACTCACTGAACACATCTCCTCTGGGTTTCTGAGGGTCTGTCTGTATTCTGTTGTCGACTGTCCACCCGGGGGCAGAGGTGCTGATGCCTGGTGCTGAGGTTGTCGGCCTGGTTCTTGGCCATTCTGGGGTTGGCGGCGGCGGCGGCGGCGGGGGAGTTCTGTGCTCCGTTGGCAGGGGTGGCGGTGGTGGCGGAGTTGGCCGTGGTGTTGGCTTTGGCGTAGGTCTTGGCGTTGGCCTAGGGGTGGGCCTGCTGGTAAGGACAGGAGGGATATACGGTGTCCTCAGAGGCCACCTGGTACTTCCAACCTCGGGGATCCAATTACTTTGTCCTCCATCGCCCTTTACGACGGTATTGTTTCCCTTTGGTACATGAACTGGACCTGAAGGTTCGATCATAACTTTGGGAATATCTGAAAGAGTGGAAAGATTTCAATTAATATGAGATCATTTCTCTCTAAAAGTGGAACATCAGGCTGTAAAGACACATGAAAACATCTTATACCAAGTAGTCTTCTTTTCATATTTAGATTATTTCCTACAGCAAATCAAGCTGTTTTCCAAATAACAAATGTTTGATGTATCCAAAAAGAATTAGTGTCTCCACAAGGAATATGTATTACTTGGAACACAAAAAAGTTTTAGGTGTCTCACTGCCCTGAGCAGTTGAGTGTAACCTCTATTAAGTCCTTCTCATGTTCTCTTTAAAAATGAAAGTTTTAAGTATTTGCAAAGTGGTTACAAGCAAGTCGATGCAACCGTATAAGCAGAGATAGTGTGAAACACTTTCCAGTATAACTGTACAGTATCCATGTGGTGCCTCCATGCTACATGTATATAAGAAAATTGTGTTTAGAACTATCTAAATCCTAAAACTTCTCACCCACACTTCATGTAAATTCAGTTAATGTTTAAACAGTTTGACTAAATGTTCCACATATTGTGTCATAATTGGTTTTCCTTCCTGCTTACTAATTTATACAACTACTTTCTAAAAACAATTTTCAAGGGTTACAGTGACCATTTGTGGAAACTTTTCCTTGATAATATTCACCAAAAATAATCAATAACCTGCCTGGAATGGTATCCTACAGATCAGGAATGACAACTGCGTGACCCTTCAAAAACTCTTTAATCCCCTTGATTTTATGCCCCATGGTTTTCAGTAAATATTTTACTCTGGAAACTTTAAAAATTATCTAATGCTACATGAAAAGTATGCTGAATTATGGCCTCTGGTTTAAAAATGTTCATCGTGGAGAATATGCATTTTCTTCATGTTTGTCTAGGAACAGACCTATGGCTCCAAACACAGCTTACAAACTTAAAAGCAAAAGTTCTGAATGCAGAGAAAATAAACATGGGAATTACTTTTTAATGGATTTATGAGGCACGACTCAGATAAAAAAATATGGACTATTATTGTTGAATAATGAAAATCTGATGCTAATGACAAACATTTATTTCCAATCTTAACAAAATTAAATTCTCAGGGAGGATTCTAATTTTGTTTCTAGCTAAAGGGAAGCTATAGAGAGATTTTAGTGAAGGAATTTTAATGCTTATAAGATTAGAATGTATTACCAGGTTTTTAAAAATGCACGAGCAAGTGATCTTACTGTTTGTCAAAGCCCAGACTCATGTTACAGCTATGAACATAACAGCTCCTTGGCAAACCTGTTCCTTGTGCCTTCCACAACCCTGCCATTCACGGAGGATGGAACAGGAGGTAGGAGACAGGAGCGTACAGCTGCACGACTCACAACAGCTGACTCTTGGAAGCAGCCTATGTGTCCACCACAGATGAACGGAAAGGAAAACGCAGCATATACACACAGTGCGGCACCACTCTGCCACACAGAAGGATAAACTTGAGTCATCTGTAGGTGTGATGGTTTGGGTCTGGACGTCCCCTCAAAGCCTCAAGCAGTCATGCTTCTAGGACTTTATGATTGATTCCTGGGTGTGAGTGCTACAACCACCCCAGGGAGGGTAGTTTGCATACAATGTGAGGGAGGGAAAGAGGAAAAAGTTTTAGACACCTAAAACTTATTTTTGAAGAGTCACACAGTTGTCATTCCTGATCTGTTGGATTTCTTCATGGCTCCCCACTTTTTGCTCTTGTTGCTTTTGCTGTTTTCTGCCACCCTGAACTGTTGTCCTGTGCCTTGTGCCACTCTGCCTTGGAGTCAGCCGAGTACGGAGTGAAACCGCCATAAATTGTGAGTTAAATAAAGCTTTTCTTCCTTAATTCTTGCTGTCAGGTATTTTGTCTCAGCAACAGGAGAAAAGTAACTAAGACAGTAGGAAACAGATGCACCTTGAGACATAATGCCAACTGAAACAAGTCAGAGACACAAGCTTAAATATCACATGGTCTCTCTCATATGAGAAAAATGAAACATCATAGGAAACAGGGAGGTGGATCCTTGCAAATGGGATGGGGACCGAGAGATGGAGGGAGAGGAGAAGGAAGGAGGGGAGGGGAAAGGGATGAGAAAAGAACTGAGACATGTTCTGTACACACACCAGCTCCCCACCAGGAAGGTAACTGTTATGTACTGCGGAGGTATACCAATACAATTTTTTAAAGAAAAAAATTTTAAAAAGCTACTCACACACGCACTTCAGCCCGTCGCCCTGGTAACCTTCCACACACTTGCACATGTACGACCCGTGCACATTGTAGCATCGGGCAAAGCTGCTGCACTGGTGCTGCCCGAGGGCGCACTCATCTATGTCTGGGCCAGAAAGTAGGGAAGAAATGGTTTGTTTAGGAGCCAAATACGATGACACGAAAAATACAGTCTCAAAGAGAAGCGTGTGTGTGGGAGGGAGGGCATCGGGGATGGGAACCAAGACTTTCACACTAAATGACAATCCCAGCCTTTTCTTCTCTTTTTAAATTTGGAGACAGGGTCTGACTAATTTTCTAAGTTGCCCAGACTGGGTCCAAACTTTCAGTTCTCCTGTCTGAGCCTCCAGAGTGCTGAGATGACTGGAGTGTGCCTGGCTAGGATTTTTCTTTTTACAATGTGAAGGTCAATGTAAAATCAGATGATAAATGGATCCAGAGCTAGTAGTAGGTGCGCTGGGTGTGGTTGGTTTCATTTAATGCCAGTTCCCTCCCCTTCCCTGGCACGGCAGAGACCTCTCAATACCACAAGAAAAAATGACAGTACCATGACACTGGTATTTGCCTCCAATGTATATGAGGTCGAAGCCTTTGTGACACTTGCAGATGTAACTGCCAAAGGTGTTGACACACTGCCTGAATCTGGGGCAGGACACTCTTCCTGTGGCGCATTCGTCAATATCTAGAAGCACAAGATAATTGCACCTTAGGAGGGTTGAGGCGCGTTCAGACAGAGCGCGTCTGACAGGAGTCACTGACTGCAGAGGTGCCCGGCAGCCACAGCTCATCAGCAGTGGCATCCAGCTGGCGGCCCCAGGGGCAACACAAATTCCACTCTCTAAATTCCAGCTCACCTGCCTACACAGGCTGTTCCTCTGTCTACACTGCCTGCATCTGCCTGGCTGCTTGAAAGAGAGGCACAAGGCACCCCTGCCAGCCCTCTGTCCCCAGGCTCTCCATTCACCAAGTCCTTCCGTCTCTGTATGCCCATGGCTGCCACTCTGTACCAAGCCACTGGCTCTGAGCAAGGCTGCTCCAAGAGTTTTGGGCTTGGGCCTTCTGCTGCCAGTCTCACCCTCCACAGCATCCGGACTGTACGTCAGATGACTCCTTCAGCGTAGGATCAGAGCATCGCTGTGCTGGAAACTGTATACCCGGCCCACATTTTTCCTACATCCCACTCTGCCCAGGCTGAGGCTCCACCCCCCATGCTAGGCACTGAAGCTGCGGCAGCCTCTTTCCCTGGATTATCAGGCTCCCAGATCCTCCCTGGCTCCAGCCCCAGGCCTGCATCTGCTCCCGGGCCCCCCTGACTGCTCGACTTTTCTCTCTCAGCACCTCCGTTAACACTGAGAGTGCTCGACAACCACATCGGGTATTGTGTTTCTTTTGTCTTCCCACCAGAATGTCAGTTCCACGGAATCACAATCTTGCCCGCCTTGTCGCTGTCCACCCAGCACCTAGCACTGTGCCTCAACACAGGAAGCACTTACCAAGTGCCTGCTGGTTACCCGGTACCTCCGCCCATGCTCACCACACTCTTGGCACACTCAGACCTCACAACAGCTCCAGGCAGCATTCATCCCATCCTCAAGATGAGGAGGGCCACGCTCGAAGAGATGAAGTCTTCTCCTAAAGTTGCTTTTCTAGTACACGGCACAGCCAGATTTGAAACCAAGGCCCAGGCTCGCCACACCTCTCTCCTGCTGCCTCACTTTCTGGGAAGAAACCCAGCTCCCATGTGCAGCAACACGTACAAGCTGGCCCTGTCTACCTGCGCCTCACTTATTCCTTGCTCACATCCTAAAACACTGCTGCTCTCGTTTCCTCAGCTCCTGCTCCCTCCAGCCTCAGGGCGGACACAGAGAGGGGTCCTTCTCTGAGAGCTGGACCCCCTGGTGGACGCTGGAGACTGCCTCTGCTCTGTCACCCAGCACCCTCCCTGTCTTCCTGTGTGCAGAGGCTGCCGACAGAGACAAGCGGTGCCACACTCACCCACACAGGTCCTCCCATCGGGAGCCAGCCGCAGGCCCGGGGAGGGGCACTGGCATCGGACCTGTCCCTTGACGATGTCACAGCCGTACTGACAGTTTGCCATGGAGCACGTCAGGGCACCTGGAAAGAGAATGACTGTGACTCAGAGGTGGAAACCAAAACCTGGAATTGCAGTCCACTTGTCCTGAAATCAGCGACATTGAATCAACGAGGACAGAGAGGCTTCTGTGATCCAACGGTCTGAAGAAGTACAAAATGGGGGTGGGGATGGAAAGACCCCCTCTTCCACAAGGACATCTCATACATGAGCCAGCTTTGTCATCCCCATACTTTGGAAGGCTTTGTAGACAGATGTGAACTTTCCCTCACACACACTATGGAAATTTCTCCCACGGCCAAGGAAAGTGGAGAACAGAGGTATTTTCCAGATTGCTCCAGCTGAGCGTTGCTCTTAAGCCAAACATCAAAGTGACTGTCACAGCTGGAGTCACTCCAGGGAACAGCGGGACAGGGGACCCACCGCACACACGATGGCGGGATCCTAGCATCACACATCCTACCTCCTCCCGCGGAGGTCCATCTAGGCTCACACAAGGTCAATTGCAATCAGCAAACACTTCTCAAGTGCTCAAAATGTAACCTGGCTAACTGGTGATTTGGTAAAAATAAAAATCAAGTCATTAGTTGCTTAATATCAATTTGATGTTCAGTCTGCAGATAATTTCAGAGCACTGCTTTTATGAACACACCCAAGGACAGCAGGGAGACCAGCCATTTCTTTCTTACAAAGATAGATGTGAAATCCTCTTTTCTGACATTATAGCCACTTACACATGTTTAGAAAAGTCTTAGACAATTAGAAAAGTCTAAAGTCTTTAGGCTATTATAAATAATTATGAAAATTAAGTGAAAAGGTATTTATGAACGATTTATAATCACTCAGCAGACCTGATGTATGCTCAACACAGTACCCAAATCACTATTGTTCTTTTTTCTACCTGAAATAGTTCTTTTGGGCCCCATAAAAGTCAGGGATAAGAGCTTTGAGGAAAAACACTTAGGAAATGTCCTCAGTTTTATGATTCTTGTCCTAAATACTATTTCCAAATGAACACTGACATCCGTAGTAAAAGTCAGATATCTAAACTGAGCACCTCTTGGCTGCAGTGGTGCACTCCTGTGGCCCCAGCACTCTGGGAGGCTGAGCCAGGAGGACTGCATATTGGAGCCCAGTGATATAGGTCAGTGCAAAGGAAAGCCCTGGGTTCAAATCCCAGTATTGCCAAAGATAAAGCAAAATGGGCCCCTCTCTGTTTGATTTCAGCTCCTCGAAGACACACATGAACACACATGCAAGCCCCGGCAAGGAGGCCTAGAGGCCACTTCCACAAGGCATGCAAGTGACAGCACTCAGGCGACAGCTGGGATTCTTGCCATACTTGCACAGGAGCCGTCGGGCATCGGCATGTGACCACTGAGGCAGTAGCACTTGTAGCTGCCGAGCGTGTTCATGCAGCGGTGCTTGCAGGGCCGCGGCTTCAGGCCACACTCATTCAGGTCTGGAAAGAAGGCAGTAGAAGCAGAAAAGAAAGTCACCAACCTCAGCGCTTGCACAAAACATTTAAAGTTTCTTGATACTAAAACCTGAGGGAGAGAAGTAGGTGGAGATACGTAGTGCACAGGACTGTCACAGACATCAGAGATGAGTAGTCTAAATGTGGGTCCACCTGTGGCAGCCAGGAGTGGCCGTGGCTCCCGAGGGTCTGCATGAAGGATGACTGGGAAGAACCTCGTTAGAGACACATGGCTGCCTTGTCTGCCTGGGTACATGACAGGTACCCCACTCCTCACAGGCAGGGCTCTCCATCACCTCTTGGGCGTCCGACTGCCAAACAGACTTGGTGCCTTCTCTGTTTCCAGAAGACATGGCCTGAGCATATACAAAGCACACTTTACTCGGCTGAAAAGAGTATGAAGTTTAACATATCTGACTGCTTGACCTTCCCGAAGGATGAACGTGCTTTCAGAAGATAAGCATTACATGAACTACACTGATTGTTAGTGTGGCTTCTCTTATTCCTTTCGGTAGAGTCTAGACTAATCTCAGATCAAAGAAAAGCATTCAGTTTCCTACTTTATTAATATACTCAAGCCACAAGACTTTGAAAAAGAATTCCACCAGCGTATTTTCATCCTTTCAGCAGGGAAGAAGGGCATATGAAAATGCTAATGGACAGAATATAGTGGACTATCATTATGCATTTTATGTTCACTGGTTTAAATATCAAGATGAAATGAATGAATGAATCCCACGTTATGAAAGTTTTCCAAGTTGAGTACTGCCTCAAGTGAACATAAAACCCATGACATCCAAACATGGAAACAGGAATGCCCATTACATGGACTTCACTAGGAAGAAATGCAACCACATGTTTGTGTACCTAATTAGCACAATTATCTGTAAATCTATGTCACTGGATACTAAATATGCACAATATATCTAGTTAGAAAGCTGTTTTCAAGTCTAATCAAATTTAAATCTGACCCGCTCACCTATTAGGAACCTATGTGCTTCATTTAAGTAAATTACTAAGCTATTTTTAAATCATCAAATAATTATTGCAACTAAGAATATTTTCACATCTGTCTTCCCAACTTGGTTTTTTTCTATTCATAACAAAAATGTAAGCACATCCCCAGCTGTGCAATGCTGAGAAAGATCATAATAAATAAAGCAAAAATTTTGGTTCTTTCCTGCACTTTCTGCAATACTCTACTTTATTGTCTCTTGTTCGATCAAGGGTTTTCCAAACAATATTTCAAAAAAAAATTTTCCTCATAGAAGGTTCCTTGCAGATGACAGTATGAAAAGGTTGATTTATGTTTTTATTAAAACAAAATAAAAAATGAGGAGGAATGACTGAGAAAAGAATTCCTCTGTCTACATTCTTCCACCTTGCATTTGAATATTTATTGAAAATCCGAGTCAAGGAACCCTCTCTCAGCTTCTAAGAGGAGTTATCATTCCTAGTATGTTCATGCAGTTACACTTGGCTTAGATATATCTCTAATGGACACTATATTAAATAGTATTTAAATTTTAGTACACTGCAAGAAAAAAGCTTTGTTTTCAGTATTTTTTCTGCAGTAAAAACATAACAAAACAGCACTAGAAGACAAAGGTATAGGGGTACTGATAGATTTTTTTTTAAAGCATTAATTAAGGATCCTTAAGTTTATTTTTAGAGAACCGTAGAAACTCCTGTGGACTCATGATGGGATCAATCCAAGGTTCCTAGCTCCAGGAGCTCATAAACGGGGAGCATGTAAGCTGGGAAATCCACGCAGGCCATGGCCATGGACTGATGCTGAGGAGGCAGGGCAGCCCTGTAACTCCTGGCTATAGATGTTGAAGTGCATCTCCATCACTAGCAGGCTGCATGCCAAACTCATCCCTCCCTCGCCATGGGAGAGGACTGTGGGAGTAGGAATCAGGAACCAAAAGGAAGTAAAAGCCCTAAACTCATAATTCCAGAGAAGTCTGGGAATCACTCAGTGAAACAACATGGAAAAAGAAGATAACATGTAGAATTCTGTGGTAAATGAGAACTGTGTCTTGGCTAATTTACCTGTTACTCCTCTGGCACACAATACCCAAGTATGTGGAAAGCAATCTGAGAAAGATGTATTGTCACAGCTGTTGATGAACAGGGTGACATTCCCTGGCAGGTGGCTGGGTTATTATCCCCAGTGGGACCATCACTGCTTCACCTGCCCCAGGCAGATGGCTCCTAAAACTGTCACCAGGAGCCACCTCAGACATAAAGCACAGGTCCACAGGCCTCCAGGTGTATCAGTGTGGGCCATATAGCAGATTCAGCTGAGGCAGAAGCCTCAAAAGATGAAATGCTGCTGGCCTGCTGGGGAGGGTCCCCTTGCTCCTCAGTGTCCTTGAAGGTTTCTAGTCTAGAATTATGTTACCTTGTTTTTTGTATTGATCTAAAGCCTTAAAAATTGAATTAATATGTACTGCTTCCAATAACTGCTATATTGATAATTTATTGTTAATTAATATTGTTATTAGATATAATTGACAAATTAATGATATTGTTATTATTATTAGAAATTCAAAATAAAGACTACGAAAAGTCTCCTTGGTCCACACTGTCTCAGATCTTAAAAGTTGTTAAGAGAAACCAGGAAATAAAACATTAGTGTTTTTATTTAGAATTTACTTCAAGCTTGCTCTTCCTCTGAAATACAAATTATCAGGAAAATTTACAATAAAAAATGGAATGAGTTCTATCATCCACCTGTCTTACACCAAAGGACAGTTTAACAGTTAATCCACTTACATTCAAATGCTTTAAATGTGAGGTACACAATTCTCCAGGAGCATTAGCGTGAGAAGTGCATTGAAGCAGTGTGGACTGGGGAACTTGGCGGGGGAAGCGGGAGGAGAGTCAGGGGAGGAGGAGCTAGCTCCAGAAAGAGGCAAGCTGCATAGCTTTGTTACTACACTGCAGGGAAAGGGGCTCAGAGATGATCAACATGCAGACATCAAAAAGCAACTTGAAAAAAATGAGAAGAGATTTACTGAATAAGATAACCCAATGGGGTTTTCAGAATCATCTTCCATTCATTTTAATGCACTTGACTCTCCTTTGAGGCTTCAATTGGACAGTGTTTCAGGGACCTATGTTTTTAAACTTTGTCTGATGAAAGTGAAGCCACAGGCAAGCAGATGTTAATGTATTAACTTTTGGATCTTCAACTGACTAACTTATGGGAAAATATTCAAATGTGTCACATTCCTTATCAGCTGAGAAAATAATTATTTAAAAACTATCTTATTTTAGTTATTCTAGAAGAATAATAACTACTCTAGAAGTTCCTAAACCTATGAGTGGGTAAGGAACAAAATCTCTCAGAAGAACTGTAAAGTTAACTGACCACTTTACTTTTCTGCAAAGCTTTCCAGCATGGTGAAGATGTTAACAGTTTTGGTGATCCTATTTTCATACCAAGCCCAGAGGCAAACAAGGCAGGGACTATCACTCTCCCAAGACTGATTGGCTGCTGAGACCCAGACACATTAAATGACCTGCTCACAGTCACCGGAGGCAGAACTTACACTTTCTGATACTGCAAAATGCACAGTGCAAGAAAGAAGCCAGTGTGCGGGGCAATTCCTAGACAAACCTAACATTCTACGTCTTCAGGAGACAGTGGTGTTGAAGAAGACTTATTCATCCTAAAATCTACCAGGCAAGAGGCATCCAAACCCCCAATTCAGTTGCTTCCAAATTCCTAACTTGGCCTACAAAGGAAAACAAAAGCTATTTGCTATCTGGTTTTTGGAAAACATTTTAAAATCCAGGAAAGAGTAGGGAAGACAATGACACTGACACAGTATAAGGACAGTGAGGGCCCCATGCTTTGGGGCATAGAGAAGGAGGAGCAGAGGACAATTCCTGCCTTAGGCTCCAAGTGGTCAGGCCGAAGGCTGCACACTTCTGGCTGGACTCCAGCACATTCGCAAGAGGCGACACAGTGGCAGGAAGCCGTGCAAGGACAGAGCAGGCCACCTGCGACAACGTGTGCTCACCCTGTGAAGGTAAACTGGTGGCTTGATGATCCGGGGGTTGGAAAGGAGGCTGCTCACTGCCTCGGTCAACAGGAGCTGGGTAGGAGAGGTCATCATCACACCGGAAGAAGGTAACAAGAGTCAACTTTGAACTCGTGGCATTTTTAGCTCTAAAAATCTTACAAGTATATATTAAACAATTACACAAAGTTGATGGAATTTAAAAAGAACTTTTTAGATACTTCACAAAGGAACAGTTGCTGGTTCTGCCTTTTCCTTTTATTTAAATTTTGTTTTCCTAAAAACTTATATCATCTTGCTTCCCAAAGGCAATATGCATGTTATAAATTAACAATGCAGCATTCTCATACTATTTTTTAAAAACACTAAAAAAGAAATGGTTATTTTTAAAACCATGATTTTAATCATTAACAGAAGAGAGAAAACAAAAAAGTTATATAAATATGAGCACAATCAACCAACTCTGTTTAAGGGTGTTAAAGTCTTAAATTACCAAGTTAAGAACTGTTTCATGCATTGTTATGTTGGATACTAATAGTTTAAAATGTGCAGAAAGCATGTGCAAATTTATGAATTCCATGAAGATCTCATTTAAATAGTAGCACGTTAGCTCATAGAAGTTTTCATTCAGAAGTTAAGAATGTATACCCCATTTAGGTCACAATTACTTAATTAAAACATACATTGAAACTTTACACATAAAATATAGTTGCCAATATTAGCTGTTATGGTTTAGCTCTAAACTGTCCCCCAAAGTCTCATGTATTCAGAGGTGGAACCTGGTCAGAAGGGGCAGGTCACTGAAGCCATGACCTGGAAGTATCTACTCTTGTCCTTCACTCCTCTCTTCTTTCTCTGCTTCCTGCTGCCATGAGGTGAGCAGCTTTTCCTCTGCCAGACCCTTCTACTGTGCCCTTCTTGCCTTGGAGCCAGGTGACCATGGACTGAATTCCCCTGAATCATAAACCAGATTAAACTTCTTATCCTTTAAGTTGTGGGTATTGGGTATTGCATCTCAGCAACAGGAAAATTAATACCTTACCTTAAAAACATATTATAAAATGAATGAGACTCAAAGTAGAGAGTCCAAAAGTTGACCTCATACTGTTTTAACAATTGGTTAAATATCCAAATCAAATATATATTCATTTCTGGGGTGAAAATCATACTTCTCTCAAAAAGTAAGACTGTAGGGAACATTACTTTAATGTTAATGTTAAGGCACTTCAATTGATACTTAAAAAAGCAATCAACTTTCAAGTATAACCAGTACGCAAAACTTGATGTTTGGTTCTATGCTACAAAGTACTAATTCTTTTCTTGGGATGAAGAATTCAGCATATGAAACATAAACCAGGCCAAAATGTTAATAATTGAAATTTATAAATTATTTCTTCTGAAATTAAAGTACACTGTAAATTCAAAAGAATGTCTTTCATTTTTAAAAAATATGAGATGATTATCTTAATAGTATTCATTTTTGTATGGGAGGGAGAAGGGAGGTGTACAGGTACAGAGACTCAAGGAAAAGGAAAATATATGCATGAGTAAAACTGCCAGAGAATGTGAGGAGGGGGCAGGCAAACGATCAAAGCCAATGTGGTCAGAATCTAGGTTAGAATCTCACCTCCTGTGGAAGGTATCGTGGGCCTGGTACAGTAGGTTCATGATCAGTCCCAAACTATGACTTCCTCTCTGATCTTAGGTAGCAAATCCAGATAATGACTCAGGCTGGCAAGGCTGCTAAATTAATACAGCTCCAAAGCACCATTTTCCCCGCTGCTTGCTCCCAGATTGGTCCTTCTTTTTTTTTCCCCCACCCCAGGCGGCCCTTCTAACATGAGTTAAACTCCTTCATTTACTCCTGCCCTTTATCCCCACTGAGCAAGTTCCCAGGGGGCTGCCCTTTAAAGTATATGACTCAAAGCAAACTTCTTGGCCAATACTTGCCTCAGACCAAACCTACTTTTAACCAATCACTAATTTCCAGGTCTACAAAATGCTTTCAGATTTATTTCTTGACATTTCTCTCCTTGAGAAAAAAGAAATCTGCTTCACCACCCCTATGTCTGAGATGTATTTGCTGCTCTATTAAAGTGTGTGGGTCTAGACAGAAGCAATCTTAGGCACACAGCTTGCTCCCCCAACTGCTAAGGGGTCTCCGGCAGCCCTCACACTTACCCATGTCTCCCCCACAGCCGCTCTCAATCTGGCGGGCTCTTGGTCCACTGAATAAGAAACCATCTAAGCAGTGGCACCAGACAACTACATGGAACTTTTAAAATTCCCACAGCATTCAGAACCAGAATCATGATATCAATCAGTCATTTATTTAACAAATATTTACTGTTACATAGCATGTGCAAGTCACAGCTTTTAGGAGCCCAGAGATCAGAGACACAACAAAGGGTTCCTGCCGACAGCAGGAATCAGGAATGTGCCACAACTGTCTTTTCATTTGTTTTATAAAGATGGCGAAGCAAGAAATGACTAAAACACATGCGTTTACTCTAAGCTGGAGTTTTATTTTCAAGATTGGGCTTCAAGTTACATTTTCAGGGTCTGTGCTATTTTTGCAGGTGTAAAATACCATTTCACCACTATTAAAAATCTCCTCCTGAAGGAATATGGCTCTGGAAGGCAAGATTTTAATTCAGCATATTCTGTTTTTCCTTAGAAAACTAGGTATGTGTTATAGGAAAAAGTATATGGTAAACTGGCTTTCTGGAAATGAAAGATGCCCAGTGATGGAACTTTTTTCCAATAATAGTTTAAGTGTCTTTGAACGACTAAAGTTGATGCAGTGCCTGTGAATAAATTTAAAAGAACTTCTCTGCCATCTCAGAAATGGCTTCTTTTAATAGTCTTCTTTATGTAAATTCCTGGCACTTGGGCAACAAAGTTTTATAGTGTTGACACATTAATGAGACCACTGAGGTTATGGTTATCACATTAAAAGAAGAATACTCGGACTCTGAGATGAATACTGATAACTCAATAATCAGAACACAGCAGGCTGCTACTTGTGAACTCAATGGGTTGGAAAAGGAAAGTCAGATGAGGTTTTAAGAGAGTCAGGAAAGATAATAAGAACACCACTTATTCCAAAAAGACTACCCACATGTGTCTGGTAAATTCCAAGTATCATAAGATAGAAAGGGAGCCTTGGGAAAATCAGTTACCAATCAGATGCTGATCGTCTGAGAATGCACTTTAGGACAACAGCTTCTCCTACCACTGGGACAGGTCACATTTTACTAGACTGGATTTTATCACATACACTTTTCATCATCCGTGTTCTGGAGAATTGCAAAAACTGTGACCATAATTCGTGGCTTAGAAGACAGCCTTCAAGGAGTATCTGGAATAAATGTCAGATACTGACACGTGTCAGCAACATGACTTGTGTATCAGATGAAGTCAGTCAAATAGGTATGGGATAGTTTGACATGACATAGTTATTTCACATTTAAAATTAGAGGGAGTAGAGTATTACTGTAAGAACTAAGAGCAAGTACATTGCCTTTTTCTCTTGTTAGTAAAATCTAGCCCAAACTTTTCCTTAATTCTAGCTTTTTAATTGCTAATAGTTGCAAATTTTACCTAAAATTAACTAAGTAGACAAGCCTGGTGCAAATTTTTGGGAAGAGTCTGAAGATCACATATCCTGTGATACAGCAGCTATTATCATCCAAAACTAACATGGCGGAAACAATATGGATTACAGAAACAACAGCTCAACATAACATACTAACTTTTTTAACCAATGATTCCTGTGAACTTGGGTAAGCCATGTAATACCCTCTGAGTTTCAGTCTCTTCAAATAAGAAGTGGAATAAATATTATTTATACCTTTACTATGATAAATAGCACTCCATCTCCTAGTGTTCTTGTAAGGGTAAAAACAGATTTTAAATATACAAATTCTATTTATTATGGCATACTGTATTAGGATATTTGTGTTTATAAGCAACTGATGCTGATAGTTTAAATCCCTTCGTAAATTGATCACCATCTTCCTGAAAGGCATATTCTCTTCCAGCGCAAAGTTGAAGGGAGGTTTAAACACATAATCAAAGGACTCAGAGTTGGAAGCGACCTCCAAACTTCAAGTCTGACGTCCCACCTGGCTTTGAAGACTAACGAGGACTAGCTGGAGTGTGAGGACGCTCATGGTGTGTGCAAGGCCTCCCTCCACTCAGCTAATGGAAGAACAAAATGTTACTCTTCTACATTATTGACAGTGATTCTCTCTTCAAACTGCATTTTAATTATCACCAGAGAATAAAAAAATAAGGGGACTGAATTAGTTTAATTGTCCTTTGAGGAAAAAAATATTGTAAGATTCATCATTATTCTTTAATCCATCAGCAAAATGGCAGCTCACACATTTGGGAAGATGTCTATGGAAACTAGTTTGGGGGAGTGGCTGCCCCTACCTTGATTGCAGGTTTTCCCGACATATCCAGCATGACACTTGCACTTGTTTGGGCCGACACATTCGCCATGCTTGCACTGTGGGTGGCATACAGCTGTGAAAAGACAGAACTGTGTGTTATTTCTAGATCAGCTGCACAACAACCATATAGCACTATGTAATGGACCAGTTTGGTAATGAAAAAAAAAAAAAAGAATTTAAAGTGGCAGAAAGAAACAAAATCATTGTTTTCTGTAGACACAGTACACACTTACAGGTCATATATGTATGTGTGTGCATATGCGTGTTTGTATTACTTAGGGCTGGAAAATTTTCTCAACTTGAGGTCAAGACTCAATAAAGTCATAATGATATTTGTCTATAATAATAATGCACATCAGTAATTTCACATGTATTCTCTTAAAGATACTTCCAAAAAGTAGTTCTTAGTCCAAAGATACTGGGTATATATAAAGTCCAGATGAATTAAATAACAAAATACTTATTTTATCAGAAATGATCATCTAAGTATGAAATGATTCAAAGTGAAACACAATCTAAAACAACATTTTGATACTCGAGTTTAAGGCTAGCACCGGCATCCTAGTCTTTCTCATCCCTGAGATACATTATAATTGCTCTTCAATCCGTAACAACAGACAGGGAGGACCAAGCTCACAATTTAATCTTAACTCTCTTCCATCAGCTTTGCTCCACTTCCCCCAAGATCTCCAAATGCCGTAAATCACCACTCAAGTCTTTCCCCAGTGTGAGTGGAACTCACTCTGGTCATGCCTGCAGTTCTCAGCTGGGGCTCTTCTGTCTGTCAGACACACGTGGCAATGTCCTGAGCCCCTCTGGCTGATACATGTGCAGGAATACTACTGGCTCCAGGTGGACAGAGAACAGGGGTGCTGCTAAACATCCTAAACACATACTTCCCGCTCAAAAATACCATGGCACCAAGACTGAGACAGCTTGCTCCACGCTGCACCCAGCATGTTCATGATACTAGGCCACATACCACGCCAGACCAAAGATAAGTGTGCAGTACTGTTCCTGGTTTCAGGGGACCTAGTGTCTAGGAAAAACACTCATGTGTTTGTCACTCAAGGTAAGATTTATGACTGAGCAAAGCAGGTGACAGACATAGGAAATGTGAGGAAACCATCACACAAGCAAATACATTCAGACATACAGAAGACCTCACAAGGATTGTGTTCGATCTTGAAGCATGTGGACAGAAGGGGATGAAGGGGTCGTACAGCAAACAGACCAAGATGAGTCAGAGGTTACTCAGGACTTCTGTCACTAGCAAGATGGTAGACGCTAGAGAAGAGAAGCAGTCACACACGAGCGATGTCACACGGAGTTTCCTAAATCTCACTGCAGAATATACACTTTACACATGGGGAAGGGGACATTTCCAGAAGTTCACCAATAGGAGACCGTGGACACGAATGAAAGTGCCAGGAGCATGGGCAGGGTGTCACATGTGGGATGCACTGGGAGGTGTGCAGAGGCAGAGGAAGCACTTGGCACCCCAGTACGACCGCGCAGGCACAGCATGTGCCGTGGACGGAATACACAGTGCCCAGGAACTGCTGATGAAAGATGGGCCGGCCTTGAAGAGGAGCAGTCACAGTGATCCTGTGACCCAGGGGAGCAGTCACAGTGATCCTGAGGTCTGCAGCCCCCAACACCTGTTCTTCCCCAGAAGCCCATCTTGTCGGCCCTTCTGGGTCTGCTCCCAGCTTCCTGGCCGACCCTCAAACACCACTTCCTTTAAAGCTGCAAATGTGTGCGCCTGTCCTCTGGGTTGTCACCCACATTCCCTGCCTCCCCTCACCAGCCCTGCCCCTGTCTGGCTTCCACATGGCTTCTTCGCTAATTTTAGGTTTATTAGCCGTTGTCCCACTGCCACTCCCTTGACAGTGCTGCTCAGGATGCATTTACTTCAAAAGCTTGCTGAGAGAGCAGAGTAAGTGAGAGACCAACGGACCTATGAAATCCCTACAGTCTGACTTTAGATGTGGCATTAAATTCCAAGGGAGACAATTTTGTTGAGATTTGTGAGAAGGAATGTTCTAGAAGGACCTTCTAATTATAGCCTCAGTGAATTATACACATGGTAAACATGTACGTCATACACAGTGTTAAAAATGAGTCCCAGAAACTAGCCATTCTATAATTTCCAGGATTCACCACCAAGAAATCCAAGTTTGAAAAACAGAAATTTAATCTTTACAAAAAAGATAATCCATAAATCTTAATACTTACATAAGAATACAACCTGAAAAATCAAGTATCACAGAGACACCCAGAATGTCATATTAAAAAATATTAAACATCTCAAAATCATTATAAGTCAAGGTAAAAGCCCCCTGGAATAACTGGAATTTGAAAATATCGCTAAGAACATGACAAAGTAGTTCAGAAAGTGCCATTCAAGACCATGAAGAAGGATTTCAGCAAAGTTTCTTGTATAGAGAGAATAGGGAGTTTCAAAATAAAAAAATAAGTATTCGCTGTGTTTTCCTTTAAAAGAAAAGCATGAAGTTTATTTAAGGAGCGAACATTTCGAGGAACAGTTAAATGGGGGCCCTGGGGCGTGTTGCCTTTTGACCCCTGGCCAGCTGCTCAGCCACCCGTGTTTAGGGCTCAGGTGCTCTCTAGGAACAAAGGGCTTTTGTACTCCTCCTCCCTTTTTATATGTGTGTTCTGTCTTGGGCGCATCAAATGCACACATTCCAGGAGGTCAAGACTGTTAATGTTTCTTCCACATCTAGGGGGGCAGGATGTTAAGCAAACTGTAACTGCACTTCTGCCTGAGAGGTAACTCCTTCAGGGACCACGCACAGCTGTCAGGTTAGCCTGCAGCTGCGGAAAGTGATAGGAGAGTCCTCATGCCCAATCAGTCCATGCCCTTCTACCTAGAGGGAGGAAACACTGAAGATTTTTCACAAAAGGACTTTCTCCTATTACCCTGTTGGCCCTTGGTCTGGGCTAGAGTTCCATAAATAGGTATGGGACATCTGTGGTATAGGATGCATTATTCTAGATACACGTGAGGCAACAGGAGGGTCCCAGGGAGTATGTGACTTGTTTCCGCTGCAACCAGGGCTATGACAGAGTGGTAGCAGAACACAGGGGCATGGGTGACACTGTAACAGCAGGTCCTGGAGAGGCTCAGGTGTGAAAGAGGCAGCTGAGACCTCAGACGACAGCTTTCAGCAACTAAGCCCTGCTGTGGAGTTAACCAGCGAGGTGAAACACCCTCACGGGTCGGGGTGTAAAGTGTTGAACAAAGCAGATGCAATAAAAGACAAGCTCAGAATGGTGACACAAGCCAGCTGGAGTCTTTGGATTCTTTCCAGTTTCTACCTTTCCTTTCCCTTCTGTTTTAACATAGACGAGTTCTTGTATTTTTATTCTTATCGTTTTGAGTGGGCGATGAGTTATACTTCCTATCCTCCTTGGCAACTGACACAGCCAATGACTAAACTCTGGTGGGGATGGATGGGGAAGCAGAGGTCACAGGAGGGGCACTTTGGGGTGCTATTTAACAGGGGTATGGGTGTATAGGCAGAGGTCACAGGAGGGGGGCCCTAGGGCCCTCACCCCTGCTACATAGGGGTGAGGAGCTGATACTATGTCTGCCTCTGTGTTTTTGCCTGGAACATGGAAGTCTTGGTTGAACTGCAGTGGGCTTTAATGACCCTGAGGTGATCCTGTGAATGGAAAGAAAACAGAGGTGATAATACGAACCCCAAATTCTTTGTGTAACTGTTACTTCTGGTCAAAGAAATGACTGTCCTTGACCAGCCTGGGGAATCTGGACTTAACACATTTATTATCAAGCCAGCAAAGGATATGCACTTAGGAGAGAGGTGTTATGGGTAGATCCTAGTAGAGAAATAAAACACATCAAGTTTATTTTGTAATTGGAGTACCTTATACTCAAGGAAGAAGAATAACTTCCTTTCTATATCAAAGTAATTAGTTTGGAAAGTGCATAGCTATTTTAAAACTAGAGAAAAATGACTCCCAACAACTTTTAGGCAAACTAGCGCATCTTTCAGTCACTCTGATTATAAGGTGGGTCTTAGGGGCCAGCAAAAACCAACCTTTACAACATATGTCTGCAAAGAGCAGCACATCCACCTACCCCCTAAAAGAAAAAAGGATAAATGATTCACTTTCACTTAGCAATGATCTTCTAACCCATGGGAAGTAAGTGACACACCAGACTCAGGGGATCCCCTGCCCGTTGAGGGACAGGCCGGTCAGACAGGGCAGTGTTGCTTCTCTGAGCCACCTATGGATTGGAACAGGCAGTCTGGACCATATTCTGTGGTGCGCTGTCCCTGGCACCCCATCGGGTTAACCAGCTCCATTAATAAGGGACAGGTAAGGACCACATATATGAACCTTTTCCCCCTAAAGCAGCCACCAGAATTAAGCCCAAAGAGACAAATCACACTCAAAATTTACTCAGTAACATTCCTGTAGCCTAATCTCCAAACATGCCCCTAAAATAACCTCTAAGTCATTGTTTTCACTAGAAAAAGAAACAAGTCTCAACTGGCAAAGCAAACATAGCTTTGTGATGTCACGTGTCCAGCCCTTCTGTTTGACAGCAACATGAAATTTTCCTCTTAAAAACACATCTTACTGCTGGCAAGGCTGCCGGGCACAAAAGAATCCTTTTTGATCATGGAAGACAATATAAACTAGTACAACCACTGTGGAAATCAGAATGGAGACCTCTCAAAAAATTAAAACTAGAAATTCCATTTGACCTAGCTATGCTCTTTCTAGGTATCTCCCTGCAAAAGTCAAAGGCATCATATCACAGTGATCCATGCACACCTACATTTGCAGTAGCACAATTCAGGATAGCTAAATCTTGGAAGCAGCCTGTACGTCCATCCACAGATGAATGGATGAAGAAAATGTGGTATTTACACACCCAATAGAGAACTACACTGCCATAAATATAAACGAGTTATTTGTAGGAAAATGAACGCACCTTAAGACATAAGTGAGATGAATCAGACACACAGGGTTAAATATTGTATGGTTTCTTGTATAAGAGAAACCCAAACTATAAAC